GCACACACACACACACCCCAGTGCACACACACACACCCCAGTGTGCACACACACACACACAGTGCACACACGCACACACACCCACACACACACACCCACAGTGCACACACACACCCCAGTGTGCAGCTGTTCCACAGGGACACACACATTCCAGTGTGCACACACACCCCAGTGCACACACACACACACACAGTGCACACACACCCAGTGCACACACACACACACCCCAGTGCACACACACACACACCCCAGCGCACACACACACACATCCCAGTGCACACACACCCACACACCCCCACACCCCCCAGTGCCCTGGCAGCTCCACAGGGACCTTACATGGTCGGAGTCGAGCTGGCAGTGCCGGGCCAGCGCGTGCAGCAGGCGCTGGATGTAGGCTTTGAAGATGCTGTGGATCACAGCATCATCCGTCTTGTACAGGTGCTCTCCCAGTCTGTACCAGAAGTTAAAGGAAATTTCTACCACCTGTTAGGAAAGGAAAATCCAGCATTTTGTCACCAGCCAAATGTTTCTCCCCCACTCTGTCACTGGACCCAGTGAAGCCCTCCTGTGCCAGAGGATCTGTGTCAGAGCTGCCGTGTCACACGGTGGTGACACGGGGACTGCCTCCCCAGATCCTCTGATTTCTCTGCCTGTCACTTAATAAAGCGCTTGGGACCCCCCAGTGACCCTCAAGCCCTTCCCCAGCCCTTGGCAGCCAAAGCCTCTGTGGCCCAGAACAAGCCCAAAGTGGGGCCGGTGGCTCTGGGAGCGGCTCGGGATGGAAGTGGATGCAGCCCCTCTGCGGTGGGTTCTTTATTGTGTGGTTACTGCACAAAAACCAGCAGTGCAGATCTGGTCAGGAGCAGCTGCAGAGCTGCAGGTCCCCTCGGCACTGATGGCACAGGATGAAGTCATGGCCAAGGAAAACTGGGCTGAACAGACCTGGGAAGGGAGGAAAAGGCTCCCAGGGCCCCCGGGGAGTGCTTGGGGCCTGCTGGAGCACGGCCACCCTGCACCTCCCACAGCAAAGCAGGCAGGCAGGGATCAGCTTCCGGCACTGAATTAACGGTTTGGGAAAAGGACAAGGAATAAAGGATAAAAAGAGACCAAAACAACGACAAGTTTTGCTCCCAAGGCCGGTGGGAGGGAGCTTTGATGGAACCAGCATTTCAGTCACCCACAGGGCAGAATTCCCCGGAGCCACAAATCCCCCCTGAGCTGGATTTTCACAGGTGGGAAAGCACTGCTGGGGGTTCTGGAGCTGTGCTGGCAATCCCAGACTCCCAGGAGGGAAACACCAAGCCAGAGTCGTGGCCAGGAGCGCCGAGAGGAGCTGCAGAGGCAGCAGCTCGGGGCTGTGAGGCACGGCTGCCCCGCTCACCTCGTACTGCGGGTGCCCCGCGCAGATGAGCAGCAGCTCCAGCGTGCGCAGGTCGCCCAGGCCCTGGCCCGGCGTGCACACGATCTTGTCCAGGAAGGTCTCGCACAGCTCGGTGAACACACGGCAGTAGTTGAGCACCCTGCAGAGGGACAAGAGTGGGATCAGCCTCACGGGCTTCACCCCAGCGAGGGGCAGGGCAGGGCCAAAATGTGCCCAGAGCCTTGGGCAGAGCGAGAAACCCCAACTTCTGCTTTGTCAGCAGCGGAAGTGGGTGCAAACACTGGGTTCCAACAAACAAATCTGCTGAAATCTCAAACTTCTCCAAAAGCCCCGTGCCAGGTGTGAGGGCACTGCTCCAGCCCAGCCCCCGGGGTTTGGCTGTGACCCCACAGCCCCAGTGCCCCCAGCACCGCTGACGCTCCTGGCGCTGGTATCTCGGCTGGGAGGCTGACGAGGCACCAGCTCCGTCCTCCCCGGCCACAGGTCCCTGTCCCTCACTTGTCCAGGTCCTCCCGTGCCACAGCCATGTGATAGGCACTCTCGAGGGTGAGCACGCCCTGGAACAGCTGCAGGGCCAGCGGCAGGTTGGTCTCCACGTTCTCGATGGCGTAGAGGGCCGAGCACACGCAGTCCGACGCAGCCTCGTGCAGGTTGGACGAGGTCTTGTCCTGTTGCTGCAAGGCACAAAAGCCCAGCAATTACCAAAGAATCACGGACTCTCCTGGGCTGGAAGGGACCCCAGGGATGGTGGATCCAGCTCCTGGCCCTGCACACAGGGATGGTGGATCCAGCTCCTGGCCCTGCACACCCCCCCAGCAATCCCAGCCTGGGCATCCCTGGCAGCTCCTGGAGCCCCCACAGCCTCGGGGCACCCTCTGGGGCAGAACCTTTCCTGCTCTCCAACCCTCCCTGGCACAGCTCCATGGTTCCCAGGGCAGAGACAGGAGCTGCCCCTCTGCTGCCCAACCACACCATGCAATCTGAGCAATGAAACCACCAGGTTTTTGTTCTTGTTCCCACAAAGGTTGGATTTGATCTTGGAAATCTACTCCAACCCAAAGAATTCTGTGGAAACGCTTTGTAGAGGTCCTGCACAGCCACAGCCCCCACTGCTCCCCACCAGCCTCGTACCCTGCTCCCCTGGACACTCCAGGGCAAACTGAGCCTTCCCCAAGGGACCCTGGCGAGGGAAAAGGGAGGGAAAAGGGAAGGGAAAAGGGAAAAGGGAAAAGGGAAAAGGGAAAAGGGAAAAGGGAAAAGGGAAAAGGGAAAAG